TATCTATCTATGTCATAAGTGCCCTGGTTTTGTTTCTCTAGAGGAACCTGTCTAACACAGACACCCTCAATAGCTGTTGACATCTGTGTCAGGATGAAACTGGAAGATTGTATTCAGCACAGGACTTCAGCTTTGCAAGATGCGGTCCCTAATGTGGGGATGGGAAGGGGTGTGGAGGTGGGGTAGGGTGGAACAGTTCATAAATGATGCCTTATCTGAATGGCCAGGCACTATGCGCACAAGGCTCTCCTGCTATGATCAAAATAGATGCCTTTCCATGCCCATGCTTTAAAAAAAAATGCCCAAAGCCCTGGTCAGAGACAGCAAAAACGAGGATGGAATGGCCAAATCCAGTCTTTGCTTTCAGCAGCCTAGAAAATATTGCCAAATCATTTTTTTCAAGGGTTTTGGCAGGCGAATGTTGGAACCCCATAAACACAGCTGGAAGATTCTTAAACAAGCAGAAAGTTACCTTAAATGGCAGTAAAGATCAGACTACGATTTATGGGAAAGAAAAACGAAGTAAATGCCGTGGCTGTCTCAGAGTCACGGATACCCGGTGGCTGTGGCAGAGAGGGCCCTGTATATGGTCCCCAAGGAGCCAGTGCTGACTGTGGGGTTATGGGTAAGTAAGAACGTGCTAAGGAAGCCAACCCACTAAGGTCGTGCTGTCAAACAAGCTCGCTGGCTTAGAAACCTCAAGCTTTGATATTGAGGGCAAGCATCTCGTTTGCGTTGCTACGTGTGGGCCTGCAGCACCCTGCTTCTTCCCTCCACGGGGCTCACAGCAGGCGCTCAGAGGCCGATCACCAGGACTGGGGGATCTGCGGATCATGACGTTGCTCCTGAGCATCTCCATATGGCTCTTTCCAAATTAGAAATGATAGTAGAATGAGTTCCTGCCCCCAAGGGGTAAAATTAATCTCTGCAGGTGGCCTTACAGGCTAAAGGGGCCCCTGGGGTATGTGTGTGTGTGTATGTGTGTATGTGTGTGTGTGTGTGTGTACAAACAGTTATATGCTCAACTATTAGCCGACAAAGCTAGCCATTTGAGACTACCCAGAGGTGTCTCCAAAGATAGGTTTGGCGAGCTGCCTCTAGATGGCATCACCTTGAAACCTCTAGGGAACAGTACCCTGCACACACAATAGCCATGGAGCTGACTCAGTGGCAAGGGACAAGAACCACCACAGT